AATTTTTCTCATGACCTTTTTTATGATTCTCAATTGACATTACAAAAAAGGTCTTGACAAAATTTTTTTATCTGTTTTAGATTCCGAGATATTCGTCAAAAACTGGCCAGTAGAAAAAATCGACTTAACCCGGTTTACCGCTTCGCTACTGGATTTCTCTCAAGTACATCTGTTCCACTCCATCAAATATTTTCACGTGGAACATATAGCTTTTCGGCAGAGGTAATCTTTCCCCCTATTGTAGATCAGCATCAACCGTCAACAATTCGAGAATCCCAGAGTGAAATTTCCAGATGTTTCCACACTTTCAAGGCATTTTTTATAGCTCTGAAATAAGATCAGACTCGCCCAAATCGCACCTTCACTCAGCAGATATTCTCGATTGAATTCCGTCTGTTTCACCCCACTCCCCCACCTGCAACGTCGCATAATAAAATCCAATTAAATCGATATTTGTCCTGAATGATGGCCTCAACAATGGAAAACGCCGCATAAAATGATGAAATTAATGTCGTCCGCAGCACTTGAATTGTCCGAATATTTCCCGAAAGTGACAGATAACCATCGCTGACTGAACCATCCCCCAGCATTTGTTTTCCATCCTTATTTATTGTGTTCCACGTCCAATTATCCGACAGCCCCTATTAATCATCATGAATCCAGCCATCTTTCCATAAAAATGAATGCGCTAACCAGTGGATCTAAAAACAGACCAGGGCATTCAATTTTAAATTGCCCTCGTGAGGATGATACCGATTCTCACACGGGGTGGGTGCACGAGATTGAACGTACAGCAGAAGAAAAAAAGATGAAGGAAAATAATGAATTGGTCGTAGATAGGATGTCTCCCCACGGATAACACAGGGATATGCGTGTAGACGTAGGGAAGTTGTTCCAGCCTGACCTCTCGCGAACTCCAGACACAGAATGGCGACGCCGATGACGTCAGAGGGAGCGTATATATTTGTGTTGCAACGTGTATTGGTTTAGTGCACCGAAAATTGAGGTTAAATGACCAATTTCGAGAGTAATTCATTTATTTTGCTTATCGACAAAATGTGTTGACTTGATGGTACAATTTTTTTATGAATGAACGGTACATGTGGAGATAACTAATGTTCACATTGCCGAATATTATATATGTATGCATTTTTTTTTACTGTATTAATGACAAGTTTTGGCTGAATTTTCCACATTTTTTTATTTTCCCGGAATAATTACACTAAAATTTACAGTTCGCGCGGATTGTTCCATGACATTATGAATTTTCAATGACGGAATTCCTCGAAATTTCAGTGGAAATTATACCTTTTAGAAATTTCCAAGACTTTTACTGGAAATTTCCGTAAAAAATTTCAAACAGCGTAGAGATTCACATGGATCTGTCGATACTTCGTCATATAATCGTGAAAAATCTAGACACATAAATTCAGTATTGGGCTGATTCAGTTGAAACGAACGAAATTATAGTTATATTTTTTCACTCTAGAATACAAATGTCAAAACACTCGACCATTCTCATCTATAAATTTTCATTCTCCATTTTCCCCCTCTATCGACACACATTATGCTCCGCGCGGTTATTATTGCAACAGAAGCTCGCGCGAAGTTTTTATCACAAGCTGTCACATCCCGCGAACAGAGAGACTAGCCAATAAAAAATAGCTCACCAGTATCCATTCCAGATGCATTCAACGAATAATCGCACCCCAGACTTGGGGAAAATTATGAATAGAGACTAAGTAATGACACAAATTGATCATTGAAATCAATACCAATATGTAATTCTATAAAAGGAACTGGGGTTTGAGATGATAATAGTTGGCTAGCATCCGTTTTGCTCGACAATATAAAAAGAAATTATATAGAAATGAGACCCAGATATTGCGCAAGAGGGATATTCTGGTGACACGCGATTCTCAAATCTGGGGACTCTCGTTCGCACGGGACAAACACACGGCTATGAATCGATCAGCCAATTGCCGATAACCGGTGAATTCTAGTCGACACGTTGACAACGCATGCATCTGTGTCAAGGATACGATAAAGCGTAAACGTAATTTTAGAACAAAAAAAAAATTTATTTTGAAACTTATGATCTCAAATCGACAATTTCGAAAGTTTCGATTTGATATTTTCAAATGTTTTCAATTGTAAACAAGTGGAAAATTGCTCTTGGGTTGCATATAGTATAGAAAAATTTTTTCTTCTCGTATACCCTTTCGGGTCTTTACGATTTGTTTCCTTCCCACCTCCAACCCCCTGTACCGCATTCGCCGAAGGACAAGGGAAAACCTCATTTGAGGGAAAAACCTGCCCAGGTACAGTCGTCTCTTGCGA